TTGCAAAATACACCAACTCCTAAAAACAATAAACAAAACTCACACTCGGGCGCAGCCACTCAAAGGGCCTTGGCGGGTCGGAACTGAAGAAGATGGAGCTATCCTCCGCCTCGAACTCGGGGTCCTCGAAGAGAATATCCTCGTCCTGGCACTTCTGCTTGATCTCGTCGTAGTGCTGGTAGGCCAGGGAGGCGAACGGGTTCTTCCGCTCGTGCCGTGAGTGAGCGCTCCGGCCTGGCACCGCGGGGCTGTGGTGGAAGTGGTGCTGCCTGACGGAGCGACCGCTGGACTGACCACCACCACCGTCGCCAAAACCACCGAAGCCACCAAAGCCGCCAAAACCCGACTTTATGTTCTCGAAGTCGTCCTTGTATTTGTCGAACGTGTCTTTGAAATCCGAGAATTTGCTGAAGAAATCCATGATTGGTGAAGAAGGTGAAGGTTAACTGCTCAAGACTCCAGGTGGGAAAACAAAGCGTTCAGGACCAATGCGAGTGTTCTCAGTCTCAGTCAAATATCACGTAAAACTAACTGAAAAGTCTCAGCTGTGTAGGAGAAAAAATTTTCATGCAATGATTTTGGGGGAGAAAAGGATTTGAAAGCTAACACTACAAGACACGAAAAGTCCACACAATGAAACGTTGAAGGCAGCGACGGCACCAAAAAGTAAAGCAGTTAATTTCCTGAAATGAAGGAAATTTAAACACCTCTCATAACAAGCAAACTTTACGCGAATTTGGAACAGGTGTCTTTAATACACTGCCATAAACTGTAAAGAAAAGTATGCAGTACAGCAAAATGCCAAAGCAACGTCCAACAAGATCAAGTAGCGACAGCAAAAATTATTGCGAGGGGGAAAAATAACGAAGACGTTTTAAGAGCGCCAAAGGTAACTTTTCGGAAGTCAAGATACCAAGTTACTAGTTAGTCCATTGCACCATCAGCACACAAACTATAAAACACAAAATAAATAAAACTAGCAATAATTAGGTCCTAAATACGCGCATCTTTGAGCATGTGAGCCCTTCAATCAGCACTGCCAAGGTTCAAGGTCGAACACGATACATGTACCACAGTATTGGGTCTACGT